AGTACACTCCATCTACAGCTAGAGGTCAGTACTACAATAGGAGTCTCAGTTGAAAAAAAGCCCGTTTTTGCCTCATTCTGTAAATCTGTAGACATTTCTTCTTATTGTTATCATCACTATTATTATTATTATTATTACTGCTACTACTACTTAAGACTACACTAGAAGCAGTTCAGATCTAGAGAGCCATAGCCTCCATCAACACTGCATTCTTCTAAAAGCAGATTAGCTTAAGACGAGCAACAATCTCAGGCATAGCTAAATAGTATTAATCAAGTGTAGACCTGGTCCCTTACACAGATTATATAGAGTTCCAAACATCTAGAACTCTGCATCAACTAGTATTCTCGCGTACTAATCAACTATAACGCATCCTCTGCACTCTCTGCAGCATCACATTCCTGTGGTTTTGCAGTTGATGCAGCAGCACATTCCTGTGGTTTAAGAAGAATGTGCTGCTGCAAAATGTGCTGCTAACTTCAATGGAGTCCCAATTTTGCCACTGCTAATGAGACTCCAGACACACAAGCTTCCTTTATTTATACTCCAGCTTCAAAATCTCAAACACCAGTTTCCCCTGCTGCTTTAAACCAACCACTTGTTTTATCTTCTCCTGTTCCTCTCCCTTTGCCACCTCTTTCTATCACCCCACCCCCACTGCCTCCTTCAATTATCAATCAAGGATCTCAGTCTAGTGAGCCTAATATCACACCTAAGTCACTGCCTAAAGTGAACGATCTTCTTGACCCAGATGAGGTGATTGAGAAATATCCAAAATATAGAAATATTTCAAATGTAGGACGAATGGCTGTTAGGCTTGCCTCTGAGGCATACTTTGGCAAAGAAGTACTGCAAAAGTCTACAGTCTATGGACAGCAAAGTAATACTCCATTACCAGAGGACAAAGTCAGGGCCCTTAAGAAGAAGATCCTTAGTTTGCATCCCAACTATGTTGATACACCAGTTGAATTTGAACCAATCTGGACGAAGTGTGTTAATGCCATAAACCATCATGCCAGTGGTTTGAGGAAAAAGGGGACAGTAGTTATCAACTTGACTGAGTAGGCATACTGGCAAAGAAATGATTGTACTATTAAATGATTATATATTAAAAAGATAAAAGTTTTATTATGAAATTAAATTGTATTAATCTTACAGTTTATACATTACATGTACTGCCTGCATGTCCTTGTATGCTGTAAAGGCGGATTTACAATATGACATTAGGCCAGCGTACCGTCAATTTTTAATCAAAAGCGTGGGCGATTTGACCTTTTGACGCATGCTTTCCGGTGGAATAGAACCAGATTCTATTCCAGCATCAACGTAACGTCAGGACTAGCGTAATATTGTAAATCCGCCTTTAGTGGATGGTAAAAGTGGAATAAGTCTTAAATTTCCTGTGTAGGCTGTGTTCAAATTTTAATGTCATAGTCTAGAATAATCAGGTCATATAAAGCTATGGGAAATAAACCCTGATTACTGTATCCTCATCCATTCTTTCAATTTACATGTATGATTCAAAAATGATGGTGTTATAACTATTATACATGTATATCAGTACAACTATATTAAACTACGCAAATAAAATCAAAAATAAACAATAAAAGATTATACTAATATCCTGTAGGTCCACCATGACTGTCTATTACTTTTGGTACTACTTTTTTTAAGTGACTGATATATTTGTGGCATTTAGCAGCATCAACAGTTTCCCAAAAGTCCAATATGCCTTGCACCAGCTCTGCTTTGTTTTTTGGCTTGGCAACTCTCCTGATAAACTCTTTCAGCTCATGCCAAAGATTCTCAATTGGGTTTAAATCCGGCGATTCTGCTGGTGTCTTCCACCAATTTATACCCATGCTTTCCATCCATGATGCTACTCTACGTGATGAGTGCTTTGGATCATTATCCTGCATAAAACGTGGATTTGAGTCAACTTTATTAAGGTATGGGACAAGCCCAGCATTTAGCACCTCAATAAAACCTGTGGCATTCATTTTTCCCTCAAAGATTACAATGGGTGTCTTGCCTTTGCAACTAATACCAGCCCAAACATGAACTTTAACTGGATGTTTGGCCCTATATGACAATGTAAATTACAACTATAATCATTAT